TACGCTTCTCGAGGAAACGAACATCACGCGAGATGATGACGCGTCTCGTTTTGGGGTTCCACATGCAATAGGCATCCTTGGTTCGACCATCATAGCCTATCAGCAGCATGGGAACTGCCCTGGCCGCAAGCTTGTGTGCCTTCTCCCCGCAGGAGTAGCCAAGTGGGCTCATAACCAGTTGCGTAACACAGTGGTCAAGCGAGGTATCGACTAACGCACACCAAGCACAAAGAGCCTTCACGGAACACGCAAGAGTCTTTTGTCCGATGCAAGGAGGGACAGGTAGACAGAAGGAGAGCGGGCGCTAACCGTCCATCTATCTATCCGCCATTTCGCATTCGCATTCGCATGGCTCTAGGGCGCGTATAACTGTTCTCCAACCTGTGGGCGTATCATTCTGCAACAGCCCTGCGCCTTCTCGAGAAAGCGAGCCAGCCACTGAAAGTTGGCACAGCCGTGGACCTAAATCAGCACGATTGTATCAATGCATGATACATTTCGCTATGCTGTGTTCACACTGCAAGCGGCTGCCACCGAAAGTTTACACAGCCGTCAATAATCCCAATTATATCAAGATACACCTCTCCCAGCTCGGTCCTCACGCATGTGGCCGTCGCTGTCTTTCTGCATCGTGGGTTATCAAACGTGTGGATCCCGTCAGGCACGATTTCGCACCCCGCTCTGGTCTTTTGCAGCCGCGTATGTGCTTCACCTCGCCCTCTGTTGAGCGCCACCCCGGCCAGGCCCGTGTAAAAGCCGAAAGGTGAACAGTGTTCTGTGCCTGAGAGCTTTTCTTTGTGTGTCGTTGTCAAGTGCCAAGTCTCTTCTACAATAACCCTGCAATAACCACGATTTCAGTTCTGTCAGTAGACCACACGGTTTGACTAACTAAAAAATACTAAAGAGTCGTCTGAGACACTCTGAGACACGGCTTGTTGCGATGATTGGGTTTGTCAGAGAGGCAAAAAGATGCTCTGCTCACTTGTGTAAAGGCCTTCGTGCTAAACAAAGACCCAACAATGAGAGAATGTAGAGGTTTGACGGAAAGCCGACACTTTGATAATCCAACATGGGCCCTTCTAAGGCCTGACACTGCCTCAGCTTCAAAAACCGTTCCCGAATTTAAGATGTCTCCTTTCCGTGCATCGAAGTAATCCGGGCTCTAATTACAGCATCCATATACCCGTTTTTTACATTCTCTGCTCCGTTTAGGTTATTTGATCCGTTCCGAGCACGATCTCTTGTCTGATTATCCGCGAAGAAGTGATGACACCCCATCCAAGCCTCCTCCCCTGATCGCGCATTCTTTAAAACGTCCCAAATGTGCCAAAAAATATTTAAAAACCGGCAAATCGCCGAAAAGCTTTTAAAAGAACGCAAACAAATACAAACTAAAGAAGAAATTCTTCTTTGTTTGAAGAAATCAGACAAAGAAGGAACGCATTTTAAAGGCCGCAAAAAAAGGAGGATTTAAAACTTGTGGGTTGCAACCCGTTGAATCACAGCTTCCTTGCCATGGTCTTCTCTCGCAAACCAATGTCCTTCACACATCGAACTAGATAACACTCGTTTGTATTGTCCACACAGTTCATTTGCCTTCACACTTCCACAAAATACACACAGGAAACATAAGACAGACATGAGATTACACACAACACATAGAGACATGAATACATAATTCATACAGACAAACAGCCAGACAGTGTCGGCAGATGCAGCCGAGCCTTCACAGAGACAGACAGTCGGGGCTTGTACGTACACGAACCAATCAATTAATCAACCAGTCAATCAATCAATCAACCAATCAATCAACTGACTGGATAGGACAGGGTGAATGTGTTTCGGTCGGTCGGTCGACATACCGAGTAAGCAGAGTATCTGAGTGTCTCTCTCGCTTCACTTACAAATCCCAATCATCGCGTACAAGTCTCAGACGGTTCCTCAGTCAGTCACTTTGTATTTAGCGCTTGCCGGCGCAAACCAGTGCCAGTCAGAACAAGAAGGGCAATGGACGGGCATGCATTGTCTGTACACTGACACACCCTTGAACCGTGACGTCTCACGACCGACTTTCGCTGCCACGTCTATGTCTTAGTTCTCCATCTATCGCCGGAAACACTGCAATTCATGCAGGTAGCCACTAATGCATGTACTGTCATTCTTCCACGAACAAGGAAAGAGAAATGTACTAAAGTGGGGAAGAA